GGACAAGATCCATCCGAAGAGAAGTGTAGTAACGAAACTTGATCAGAAAGCAATGATCTAGAACAATAGTGAACATGTCAAGAGCGTTCTTTCATTTCAAGATCATTTGTTCCATTTCTTCATTTTTTCTTTTGTCAAATAAAATTTAAAAAAAAAATTATATTTCTGGACCATGTTTGATGGAGACAAAATCATATGTCGAAACGTCACAATGTAACTAAATGTTACACTATATTCATGATTTTATTACGATTATTTCATTTTATTAAATTTAAATATATATGAATTTCAATTTAATTTTTTCAACTTAATTCTGAGTATTTTGATACTTTAAAATTAGTTTTAGATGAAACATCAACTAATAAAGAATAGTCAACTAATTACTAATTAACTATTGTTAGCTCGCTTTTACGAGCTTAAGTTTATTTATTTTCAAAATATGTGAATGTGTGTGTATATATAAAAATGTCCTTAATCACGTACATATATATCACACCACACAAATAAAGAGAGAAGAGAGAAGAAAAGAAGGAGGGACAACAATAACAACAATGGAGGATAAGGAAAAGAGAGATGGAAAAGCATCTAGGGGCAGGAATAAGGATGAATTACCGCTAACAGACATAAGCAAAAAGAGCGCTTGTTTTGATCTATTGTGACTCCAATAGCTCACAGAAGACGGTATTGAGAAAGTTTGAGTCCAACATAGCTTTTTCTCTACACTTCAAGGTCCATCTTCATTGACAGATTCAAATATTTCTGACGAAGATGTTCTCCAGAAACCCGACGAGAGGGGAAAACATGCCCTTACATAATAAAAAGAAAGGTAATTAACCTAATGAGTAAAAAAGGTTGTGCATTAACTACAAATTCAATCAAGTGCTTTGAATTTATTCTTATTAACATTCCATGTTTTTGTGCTCTACACATGAGAATAATTAGTAATATAAAAACTTGACAGAAACATTTCTCTGATCATTAATATAAGGATTTGATAAAAACATCTCTCTTACAGAATTAGACTCTAACGACATGAATTGTCTGTAAATAAAAACAAAACAGAATTTGAATGTTATTTCTAAGATATATCTTACAGAATTGTAGCGAATTACATTTGCTAATGTTGCTGCAGTATCTGCTCCAATTTCAACTGCTCTAAGTAGGATTTCACCATCGGTCTAATATTGAAGAAAAAAAATCAATAAGAAATATGTAAAATGATAATCTGTTTTACCGAGTTGGAGTCGATTTTAGCAATTAGATTTTTCACTTTAGTATATTCATATCGATTGGTTGACATATTTTGGTTTTGAATAGGCGTAATAAATGTTGTTAAGATCTAAATAAAAGTAAAATAAAACACTTTCTGTAACCCATTCAAAAATGGAAACAAAAATAAAACCAGTTTCTCGATAATAATAGTTTTCTTGCATAACAATTCAGTCCAATTACCAATAAAAAGTTTGTGTTTGAATAGAGTTTGTCTAGTACTGATCTGTTGTCATAATGAAAATATTCAAACATTGAAAATTTACATATTGTGATATTGCAGTTATCACTGCAATGACATTTTTGTTTTCGTTACATTATGATTTATACACCGAAAACAAAATGTTTCCTTAGGTTTTCTTCTTTTATTTGTGTGCTTTTACTTATGAGAAAAGAAGAAGAATACCATGCCTAACTACCTACGTAATGAGGCAATAAAATACATTGTAAGCAACTAATGTCCATTTGAAAAAGGCTTTTAAGGATTTTTTTTTCGTTGACTTTTTATAAAAACCAGATAGAGAGCTGCAATCTCCCGATTTAGAAAGAGGGGATAAAGTTGAAGCGAATTATGTACTATAAAGTTTTTTTTTTACCTAATATTTGTAAGGTTTTCAAAGATTTTTTTTCGGATGTGAGTGTGGTTGAAGGAAAGACTTACATCTACACTCAAAATGAATAATATTCGATATATGTAGTAGAAAAATAGATGTTGTGTAAAGGTGACACACCTTTTCACGTATATTGTGATTCATGAATTGAAAAAACGGAAGTAAAAAGCATTCAATGAGCAATTGTCCAATGGGAAAAACACTTGACAATCTGTCAAAAAATCATTCGACCTGAATCTAATTAAGTCTCATTGACCTATATTCAATCATTCCATTGATAAAAAGGGTAAAGATGTGCTACATATATGTTTGAACGTGTGAATAATGGGCCGAGAATTGCCTGTCTTTCCCTTTTGCATGTTATTCTTCAGTCAAAGAACCATTTTTGATTCGTTCTTTAATATTGCTTGTTCATAGCTTTCTTTTTATTCTCAATATGTGTTAACCATGCACTCATGTAACTCAATCCATTGTGGATGTTGATCAGATAGAAATCTTTTTTTTTCCAAATTGAGTTGTCTATTAAAAATAGATTAATGCTTCATCATGTTTAGATTCGTTAGGATAAATACTGTCAATATATTTCTGTGTAAATGCATGACCTGCATGAAAAACAATCAGTATTTCATTTTCGATTTGTATTATCATTAGAAAATAGTTTAATGGTTTTGAATGATCAGCTTTCCTTTATATTGACATCACTCATATCCTTGCAGTTCCACACGAGATGTATTCGATCTGATATCTGTTGATTCCGTTGTTTATTCATAAGGTTTTTATTTGCTCCTTCAAAATAGGCCAACGCTTTATCTCATATACTGACTTAACGATAGATAATATCACTAATCGAACATAGAATTGATATCTCTCTGTCATTTTCTGCTAAATATCGTTCGTCAATTTCTAGTGATATGAAAAATCTCTTGCAAGGGTGTGGTCATAGGTCTGAATGTGTGAGCGTCTGGATGTAGATTTAGATAAAAGAAATACCCACGCGCAGACTCACGCCACCAACACCTACACCATGGATTGGCCATGGATTCTATAGCCAATCCATGAGAATTTTGCAGACATGATTGATCAATATTTGTGACGATCTATCAAAAGAAATATCAGCAACAAACGATGAACTTATCAAAATGTGTTAGCCTCGGACAAGTCGCATGTTCTATCAGAGAGAATGCCACTTACAGTAGTAATGAATCGTCCATAGATGTACACGTATGTACAAAGGAAACAATAGGCGAATGCAGTGATATATCGTTTGATAGAGCATCACATTCATATGTAACAAAAACAAGAATAGGCCGATATTTAGTGCTCAGGAAAGTTAGTTGTTGCTTTCGAAGAATGAAGGCGAGACGCATCAACTTACTTTGTATTTGTTGTCGGTATCCAAATGGAGTAAATAAATTCTGAGAGGAGTTTTTTTTTTGACGTTTTTTGATAGATGGCTTTTTTTAAAGAAAAAGTCAATATTAGCTACTTTCAATTTCATAATTACGATCAGCGTCCAATTATGCATCCAGTGACATGTTTTTGAACCATTTCAGAGAAAAAATTGTTGATGTTCCTAAGTGGAACTGAAGCCGTTGAAGTTTTCGAAAAATTTAGACGACAATTTTGTTTAGCTTTTGATGCTACTTCTAAATGTATATTTTTTGTTGTATTTGTAATGCCAAACCGTCTTATCTGCCCATTTTCTATGAACCGACTTAGAATTCTGTTGCAATATCTTTGCCATTTTACAATGTCAACGAATTGGTGAAGATGAAAAATGAAAAATCAAGCATGGATTTTTGACTTACACATTATTAAGAGAAAGTGACAGGCGCGTTCGATTCGGCGTCAAATGCTGACAAAAAATTTCCAGTGTCGACTACAGTAACATTCACATGTATCTCAGCATATTATTTTGATGCCAGATGAGTTTCTCTGACCATTTTCTGTTTTTTTCAAAGATGTTGCTAAAGAAAACCTCGTTTTTCAATCTCATTATACATTCTGCTTATTGAAAAAACATGTTCAGTTTTCGTTCTTTATAGTGTTCATAAACTGTCACAACTATTCCGAACTGGACAGCAAATAATCATCGCTACTTTGCTTATCTCATTATCATCGAGCTCAATTCAAATTGTTTCTTCCATTTTACTGTCAATGAGAAACAGGTATCCATGCATCAAGATATTGGCATTAGTAAGTTCTCTGTCTTCGTTGGTATTCCCAACGTGGAAACTGAATTTCACCTACTCGTTGATGTTTGAGGGTGTAAGAATGAGAACTTACGATACATGCTGGCTTATCTCACTTGATATGGGCATATTTAACTGTTATTTCCTATTGTGTGTAATTTCAATGATTTCTCGCATGACCCTCTTGATCTCTGTTTTAGGCTTAACATTTAATAAAACATTTGATGATGGTGAATGGCACATACAAAAAAATGGTGGGTAAATTTCGATGGTGACACAATGTATTCGAGTACAAGCTTTGAGGGGGAAGCCATAGATATTCTATGTAAACAGTATAAAAATCGTATATACGTCGAAAAGTCAGAAGAATTTAATGACGATTGATAGACACATGGTGTACAATATATAATAGCTCTTTTTATGTGAATATTATTACTAACAGTTGAAAACAGAAAAGAAAAAGAGAGAGCTCTGATAAGAATAGTTTTTCAAGGTATAATATTTCACCTAGTTCTGTATTAATGCAATTTCTCTCATTCTACGAGAAATTAATATAGAAAAGAGCGAGTTCAATTCTATTTTCAAGCAAGTACTATATATTTGTTGATTTAAGGACAAAAGAGAAAATTCAAAATAAAAGTCTGCTGTTGGATCTTCTATTCCTCTTCTTTCCTTCATCAAACACTTTTTTGATTTTTTTCAACCTAATGTCAATATAGGAAAGAGACAGAAAGAAAAAAATATTATAGAGAGAAAGACAATTATTCCATATCCCGTTCATATTTAGTTGGAATATTTTCAGACTAGTGAAAGATATAATACACCAACTCAGACAAAAAAGAGAAAACAACAAACTCACTTCTTCATTACACATAATCTGAAAAACTAACTTATTACACCTTGTTTTTTACTTAAAAAAGACAAGAAAATGCCTACAACTTATTCTAATTTATCTACCTCTCCTGTTTTTTTTCCTCCACGTTATGTTGAGCGATGTGGGAATGCATCTTCAGATTTCTGCCCTACTAACCACAAACAATATCAGCAATGCACGGATATTGAAAATGAAACCATCGAAGATGGAGAAAACGAAACTAATTCGAATTATTCTACCGTCCATATCAAACATGAAAAGAAGTACAAGAAAGGCGATTCTTATGAACGACATTCGTATTCAATTAAATGTGTTAACCACAACAAAGACGAAAGTAAAAGTCTTCAATACTCACGTGAAGAAAAATTTTTACTACCAGTGACATTAGCTGCTTGTGTAACAGTTTCATCTCAACATCTGCATCCTCGGAATACACTTTGTACGGCCCGAAGAGGGGATTTTATTGGTGCTTATTATCAGTTGGAACTACATAACAAAGTAAAAACAGCTGCTGATCTTGTCTCAGCAGCGGCTGAAGGAATTATCAAAGAAGGAACTCGACTTGGTAAAATACATGAAGCAAAATCGTTGTCTCAGCAACTTTTGGCGTTTAAACATTCCGGCGACGGCAAATGCATCAATTATCATAAAATCCCGTCGGAGATTGGTGAAATATGTGTCAATCTCTATACACAAGACTCATTTTGGTACAAACGAATAAATCACGTCCTTCGTACTGTAGCTAATATCACTCTTGAAAAAGTAAAGACATTAGGTCCATTCTGCTATCTATTGTATTATTATTTACTTAATAATTCTACAACTGACATTTTAACCGTGTACCGTAGTTTAAATCTGACCGACAAAGAAAGGCAAAAGTTTATGAGTGATAAAGTCAAGCTCACCAGTTTCATTTCAACAAGCAGAAGTCGAAAAGTTGCTGAGTTTTACGATGGAAATACACTTCTCATCATTGATTTAAACATGCAATCTGATATGTTCGCTACAAAAAGTTGTGGTGCAAACATTTCGTCTCTATCTGCCTTTCCAGTGGAAGAAGAATTTCTTATTTGGCCTGGGACAGAATTTCATTTTGTAAAATATGTGTATCATATGGCGAAGAAGAAACATTTCATTCATTTAAAGGCTTTAAAAAAGAAATCACATTCGTCGATCAGTAGCGTTTGAATTTTTGCTTCTACTATCTCACAAATGAAAGTTTTTTGTATGATGGTGTTGTCGTCAGTGTGCTCGAAGCAGAAAGCTTTTGGTTAAGGAACTCTCACGAGAAAAGTTATATCGGCTTCAAATAAAGCAATTCAGAAAGCTGTTATGGAAAAGAAGTTTTGTGAAAGGATAATAGAGGAGAGTGGTGAGTAATCAGAACATCCTTCGCTTGAGAATGTGAGTGTGAGTACGTGTTTTCTGTTGGTGCACATCCATACCCACATTGGCACCCACATCCACAACCACATCCTAATCGTATAGCAACTATTGAGGTGCACGGTAAAAGATCGAGGTGAATCAAAATCAATCGTGGTTGTTCTCAAGGTTCCAGCTTAACGCCGACGTTATTCATTAAGTACCATAGCAACATGACTAACTATATACCCGAAGCAACATCTTTCTTCTTTCCGGATGATCTTGCAGCAGTGCTGGCGGAACAAATAAGATTTCGATTTATAGATCAATGCATAGATCTCAAACATCGACTACAAACGTTCTTCGATCATCTTGAATTCTACTCCATATTAGTCGAGCAAGCAATTAACTACTCGAAAACACAAGCGATGTTCTCAGTACGTGCCGTTTGTTATCCGAATCCGTTGCCTCAAGTTCACTGTGGTGACCACCCAATTGAGTGGATCTCTTCATTCCAGTACCTAGGATATTGGCTTACGATGAAGCTAGATAGGAGAAATATTATCGGCAAGATCCGGATAACTGTCCGCCACTGGTGAATTCGTTCGAAATGAGTGGTATGTCCTCTACTCAGTTACGACGAGCACTCTTCTCGGTATTTGTACTACAACGCATTTCACGCGGCTATTAGGTCTATTTCCATTAGTAACTGTTTCACAGCGTACGGATCTGAACCATCTATATTTTACATTATTAAAACGTGTATATCATTGTCAGTACTGGGAGGATCTCGTTTTTTCGTCAGTGTACAACGAAAAACATCTAGACAACCATTGCTATGCCTACCCTAGCAGTCAAAATTAAGTAAAAAACGCGTTATAACGAACGTTATTTTTTTTTTCTTTTAACGCATTTTTTCTTTCAACAAATGTCCGAATTTTTGCGTTTTAACAGTTGAA